ATCTGACACCAAAGCATAAGAAAGGAAAGAAAGAATAGATAAAATCATATCCCCCAAATTAAAAATATTTTCAGGGCGTCCAGGTGGCTCAGTAAGTTAAGCATCTGACTCTTAATTTTGGTTCAGATCATGATCTCAGGGTCATGAGATCAAGCCCCATGTCAGGCTCCACGCTGAGTGTAGGGCCTGCTTGAGAGTCTCTCTCCCTCTCCCTCTGCCCCCGACCGCTCGCACACTCTCTCCCTCGCTATTAAAACAAATGTTAAAATAATTTTAAAATCTTGGTACATCAGAAGTTACTAACCTAGGGGCGCCTGGGTGGCTCAGTTGGTTAAGCGACTGCCTTCGGCTCAGGTCATGATCCTAGAGTCTTGGGATCAAGTCCCGCATCGGGCTCCCTGCTCAGCAGGGGGTCTGCTTCTCCCTCTGCCCTCTTCCTTCTCGTGCTCTCTGTCTCTCATTCTCTCTCTCTCTCAAATAAATAAATAAAATCTTAAAAAAAAGAAGAAGTTACTAACCTGAATATGAAAAGACTGCCCCCAGAAGGAAGGAAATATCTGTACCTTATGTATCTAGTAAGAGTCTGTTGTCCAGAATATATAAAGAGCTTTTACAACTCCTCAACAAAAAGACAACCCAATTTTTAAAATGGACAAAGGACTTGGATAGACCCTTCTCCAGAGAAATCATGGGGAGTTGGGTGTTTAATGCATACAGAGTCTCCCTCGGGGAGAATGAAAAAGTTCTGGAGAATGATGTACAACCGTGGGAACTCAGCTAAGGCCAGAGAACTGTGTACCTAAAATGTTTTAGGTGGTAAATGTTATTTATGTTTAGTCACAGTGAAAAAATGAATGAGGGACTGATGCATGTCACAACATGGATGGACACTGAAAACAGCCCAAGTGACAGAAGCCAGACAGAAAATACCACTCAGATTAGAGCCATCTGTACTATTCCAATCCATCAGGGTTGTGCAAATAGCAGGTCTCAGGAGCAGCTCCAGAAAAAGAAAACTGAATCCGAATGGAGAAAGACATTTCAAACAGTGGGGCAGGTGGCGACAGCTGAAGTGGGTCTGTGGTCTGGGTTATAATGTGGAAAAGGAGATGATTTCCTCATTTAGGGTTACGTGGTGCTTCTGCAGGAGAGTGTCCCTGTTTGGGGTAAAACGCACTGAATCACTCCGTGTGAAGTGATAAATGTAGTAAGGAGACGACAGCTGGGGGGTCTGAGTGTGGAGATCAAGTGTATTTGTGCTGCTGTGACAGGTTTACCACACTTTGAAATCTCTACAGAGTCAACTACTCTTCCAAACAGCCATGTCAGCACCAGGTCACAGAAGCAGAGATGACATCAAACTCCAGGATGGAGGCCAAGCCCTCCCAGATCCAGTTCACCCATCATGGAGCAGCCACTCGCCCTTGTAGGAGGCCACATGGTGGCAAGAGACTCGTGGGAGGATTAGGTCGGTGCCCCCTGTCTCTTGGGTGCAGTAGAAGCAGTAGAATCTGGAATTCCAATTTTCCACAGTGCTCCACCAAAAACTGGTTAGAACTGTGAAAATGCATGAAGGGAAGCCTCAGGAAAGTGGACTGGGGACGCCAGAAGGGGAGGCTGGAGGGGGGAGCCTGCCACTCAGGGTCGGTTACAGGAACAACTGTCAGTTACAGACCCAACATTAGAACCCTCCACAGGAGAGACTCACCAGTCACAGGCCCCAGAGGGGAAGATGCAGGTTTCACCTCCTCCAAGAAACCCACCACCCCTGCAGCTCAGCAGGTGACAACCCTCCATCACCTGAAGCCCTGCTTTTCTCCAGTGGACTTTCCTTCAAAACAACCCTCCCAACTTCCCCCACCTTCCCAAGAAATAATGTTTCTCTCCTTTCTTTTTCTTTTTTTTAAGATTTTATTTATTTATTTGAGAGAGAGAATGAGAGACAGAGAGGACGAGAGGGAGGAGGGTCAGAAGGAGAAGCAGACCCCCCGCTGAGCAGGGAGCCCGATGCGGGACTCGATCCCGGGACTCCAGGATCACGACCTGAGCCGAAGGCAGTCGCTTAACCAACTGAGTCACCCAGCGCCCTATTTTTATTTTTTTTTAAAGATTTATTTATTTGACACACAGAAAGAGAGAGAGAGCAGGAACACAAGTAGGGGGAGTGGGGAAGGGAGAAGCAGACCCCCCGCCGAGCAGGGAGCCCGATGCAGGACTCGATCCTGGGCCTCCAGGATCAAGACCTGAGCCGAAGGCAGTCGCCCAACCGACAGAGCCCCCAAGGCGCCCTCTCTCTTTTCTTTCTTGCACTTGCCTGTGATGTGGCCGTAGCTTGCTTGTCCTGGATTGCAAGTCTCTGCTATTCCCAAATAAACCCATTTTGCTGGTAAAATAACTGGCAGTTTTAGTTTAGGATTAACAGAACTAATAAATTCGATAAATTTGCAAGAAACGAAACCAACATACAAAAATCAGTTGCATTTCTATGTGCTCATAACAAACTATCAGAAAAAGAAGTACAGAGAACAATGCATTTCCACCTGCATCAGAAAGAACACTATATCCTGGAATCCATTTCACCAAGGAGGTGACGGACCTGTTCTCTGACACCCTGATGACCGGCAACGAGGGAGACACACGGAGATGGGGAGACACTCTGAGCTCACGAAAGAGCGGACACTGTGAAAATGTCTACTCTGCCCAAAGCCGTCTACACAGTCCGCGCCGTCGCTGCCCAACTTCCAGCCGGGTCTTCACAGACCCCGAACCAACAGCCCTGAAGCGGGTGTGGACGCGGGGAGGACCCCGCAGGGCCGAGGCCGGGGGAGCACGAGCACCGCGGCGGGAGGCCGCCCCCGACCACAGACTGCCGGAGGAGCCCCCGGAACCGAATCCGGGCGCGCATAAACACGTGCGCGTGGGCCGCCGGGGCAGGTCCGAGGCCCGAGAGCGGAGGCCCGACAGCCCCGCGCGCAGCACCGCCCACGAAGCCCCGGAAACGCCCCGGTCTGTGCACCCGCCCTTCCTCCGCGGGGTCCCGTGAGCGCGGACCCCCTCAGACGGCTTCTCCTCACCTTCTCCTCCCACCGCGGGTCCTGAGGAAGCTGGGCTCCTGCCCTTGTGGACGCCGCCCCACATCCTCCACAGCGGGTCCTGAGGAGGCCGGGCTCCTGTCAGCGTGGACGCCGCCCCGTGTCCTCTACAAGCCTCCGCAGCGGGTCCTGTGGGTATGGACGCGGACCCATGTCCTCCCGAAGCTTCCACAGCGAGTCCTGAGGAGGCCGGGCTCCTGCCCTTGTGGACGCCGCCCCACATCCTCCGCAGTGGGTCCTGAGGAGGCCCGGCTCCTGTCAGCGCGGACATCAGGTTCCGAGGTCCGGCTCCTGTCCCAGCGGCTGCGCAGGCCGGGCTCCGGGCGGGAGCCGGGGTCGTGCGCCCTCTGCAGGCGGGGGACGCAGTGCAGGACAAGGTGAGCTCAGCGGTCAGTGGAAGCACCTGCTCGCTCCGGGGTCCCGCGAAAGCCATTAAATTCTGAAAATTCAAGCTGAATGGAGCCCAATATCCCCCCAACTTCTCCAAAATTAGCTAAGGAACAATTAATTGGAAACAATATGGAAGGACAACACTCCCTTACCCAAACAGTGCCACTGAACATGACCCTGCCCCTGACTGAACATGATTCTGACACAAACTTCATCTCAAGCCTGGTCCTGACCCTCACCCAGGACCCTAACCCTAGCCCGCAACCTGAACAATGTTCACAATAATCAAAAGGTAGAAACCATGCAAATGTCCATCAGTGGCTAATGCATAAACAAAGTATGGTTAAGGGTTTGGGTCTGGGTTCAGGGTCAAGTTTAGGGCAGGGTTCTAGATCAGGGTTTGGGTTTAGGATCAGGGTGAGGGTGAGGGTTTTGGGTGAGGGTGAGGGTACTGGTTAGAGTTAGAGTTTAGGGCTTTAGGCTTATGATTTAGGGTTTAAGACTTAGGGCTTAGGGGATAAAGTTCAAGGTCAAATTTGGGGTTTGGGTTCAGGGCTCATGACTCAGAGTTCGGGTTCAGGGTTTGGGTTCATGGTTCAGGGTTTGGATTCAGGACTTGGTTCAGAGTTCTGGTGTGGGGTTCAATTTCAGGTTTGGGATTCAGGGTTCCAGTTTGGTGTTTAGGGTCACGTTAGGTTTTAGGGTTAAAGTTAGGGGTTAGCGTTAGGTTTAGGGATTACACATGTTCTTCAGTTGTCATCATGGACACAAAATTTCTATCTGAAGTTTCTTTTTTTTTTTTTTTTTAAAGATTTTATTTATTTATTTGACAGAGAGAGACACAGCGAGAGAGGGAACACAAGCAGGGGGAGTGGGAGAGGGAGAAACAGGCTTCCCGCAGAGCAGGGAGCCCGATATGGGGCTCGATCCCAGGACCCTGGGATCAAGACCTGAGCTGAAGGCAGACGCTTAACGACTGAGCCACCCAGGCGCCCCTATCTGAAGTTTCTAAATCTGAAATCTATTTAGTCTGGGTGTCAGGAGCTTGTTCAGATTTTAGGGTCACAGTAACTGCCTACCAACAGCATTCTGACCCTAGAGTTTCCCAGTCACCCAGATGCTATTTGTTTTTGTTTTTGTTTTTTTTTTTCTTGGTTCAAACATGCCCTCTCCATAGAAGGGTGAGCTGGTGGCAAATTTGGGGTGATTTCACAGTGGTAGAGGTGTGAAACCAAATATTGTGGAAATGTCCATAGAAAATGAAAAAGGAGACAAATAATTTGTCGACTCCTGATTCTTCCACAACAACAAAGACCAAGTTCCCGACAGAATCTGATAATGTTCCCTAGGAAGGACTATGGTACTCATTACCAGTACCAAAAGAGGGCCCCCTCCCCTGGTTTAAACTAAGAATCACAGGAGGATACTTCCTATTTTGTTGTCAGAAATAAAATTTTATTATTTGGATGTTCCAGTGGACAATATGTGGAGGGCATTGCCAACATTTCCCACTCTCCCCAAATCCTCATCAACACACGGATACAATGCAGACAACATAGTAATGCACTGCTCATTGGAATTCCAAGAACAAGGAGGGCTATTAGAACTAATAAAAATATATCTACTATTAAACTCAGAAAAAGCACTCTTTATGGGCACTTAATGAGGACCCCTATCCTTAAGATCTAACATCTCATCCTATGGAATCCACCCATAAAAATCGTCAATAACAATAGCCTGCCAACCACTGTAACCACCCCACGATTTACCTATAGACTTGTAATACACACTCCAACCGCTAGAGGCACACTTCTCAGCAGCCGAACAGGACTTGCCCACCCCCGGGGGAACAACTGTTACAGTGATGTAAAAAAATCCCACTCCTTGGAAATCCCAGCCGTGAGGACAAAGGCACAGAAACTACACCCATAACTTAATAAAAGACAGACATCTCGTTAGCCAGATGCTGCAGATCACCACCACTCTCACGAAGTCACTCCACAGTGGACTCCAGATCTGTCTTCTTCCCAGGATTACGAGGTGCGCCACATTCTTCCAATACGCCACCCTTAGAACAAAACCTTTAACTGTCCTCGTCGGTCCTGTGTGCAGGCTCACAGTGAGCCCTGCGAAAGCCAGACACCTTCTTGAGAGCACTCAGCCTCTTGCGCATATCCTAGCAGATAGAGGGTGCCGCCGCTCTCCCCAACTTCTGTACCAACTGGAAAATACTTTGAACAAGTCTTGTCATACTCCATACAAAAGGCATATTCTTCATCTGCAAAATTACTGACGGTGAAACACCACGGATTCCTCGCACCTTCTTGAACCTAGGTAAATTGGAGATACAGGTTGGCCAGAGCTATTATCCCCAATCCCCATACCCCCCGCACACACACACCCTTACCTTGTGCATTCCAGACTAGTTTCCATCAGCTTTGCTCATTCTCAGCCATTGTGTCTGCAGAATAGTAGAGTAGAACTGAGGTGCCGGGACTGAGGTGCTAGGTACTAAGCCAGCACCTTGGACCCACTCACTACCAGAAATCAACACTCATTTTATCAACAGATGCATCACAGAAGATGTTGCCACCATAGCAATTAGAAAAGTCGTTACAACAGAGGAACTAACAACCTGTACCAGTCTCCACGGCCCCCTCCCTGGCTCCAGGGATTGGCTTATCCATGGACATGTGACCTGGTCCCAGCCAGTGAGGTGGCAGGAAACTCGGATCTCGGCCTGCAGAGCATAGCATGGGGTGGACCACCCAGGCCGGGGGCTTTTCCATCAGGACTGCAGAAGTGGCCTAGGCGAGGCCAGTGCCAGCCCCACAGAGGGCCCAGGAAGCCAGGGGCTCAATAACATTGCTGAGGGCTGAATCGAACTCGTCCTGAAGCCCACGCATGCTAGGTCCTCCACTGACTCCCAAGAACCGTAAATGTGCTCATGGTCTTGGCCTGAACAAGATGACCGTCTGCGTGGTATATACCCCGCAAGATGTACCCTCCACGCAATGGGGACATATTCCGCAAAACCATACCTACATGTACTTCAACCAACATCTCATGGGAAGCTCGCGGCATTCAGATAAATGCGGGGGAGTTCCTAGGCCTTAATTATTGGTCAGTCTCGCTATCATCTTTCCTTTCAAGTTTAGGGGCCGGGTCAGGCAGGATAGATCCCAGTGTACGCCCACGTTGCCATTTCAGAATAAGAGCCCTCTCCCCCACCGTCCATCAGGTTGCAAATCTGGGGTGTGGGAAACTACCACCCATGGGCCAATGTGACCTCCCCCTGTATTCTGTAAATTAAGTGTGGCTGGAACATGAGCTATGGAAGGTCTGTGGCTGCTTTCAAGCCACAGTGCAAGAGTGGAATCATCGTCAGAGAGACCATGTGGATCGCAACGTCTAACAGAAAATCTTTACAGAAGACTTTACAGAAGAGTCTGTGCCAATCCCTGTTCTAAAAGGTAATATAATCATGTCACTCCTTTGACTAGAACGTAGCACCTTCTGGGTAAAATCTAATTTCTTTACCCCCACAGGCAAGGACTTCCATTGTTTTAGCCAGAACTGCATATCCATCCTCCTCTATTTATACCTTTAATGGCACATCTACATGTCTGCTGCCCAGTGTGAATTCACTGTAGTTTACATGGTACTGATGCTCAGAAATGGAGGTGTAAGTGTGAACGTGTGAGTGTGAGCGTGTGTTGACTCTTTGTTAGCCACGGTATGCGAGTAGAACACAATACAGTAGCGTGCTTTCTGTCTCACAGTGACGGCCACATTATGTGGTTACCTAATGACATCAGAAGGAATCCACCTTCATAGAACAAACTTCGTCTGGGAAGATTCTCAAATCCCTTGTCCTGGGCCCTATGCTCCACCACGGCTGGGCGCACACAGAGGGACAGAGACTCACCCTGCCCATCAGGGTTTTGAAGGATGCCTACGGTTCCAGGACAAAAGATCCCGAAACCAATTACTTACCTGTCATCCAGCCAGGCAGCTGTGAGAGAGATCTACTTGTAGCAGAAAGGACAGAACGAGAGACAACAAATGACAACATGGAGTGACAAGTGCCACTACAGAGGACGCTCAGGAGGACTGGGGTGTGCAGGGTTGGCCAGAGCAGGGGCAGGGGACCGGGATGCTCCAGGAGGATTATCACAGCAGTGTCACTACAGGGGATGCTCAGGAGGACTGGGGTGTGCAGGGTTGGCCAGAGCAGGGGCAGGGGGACCAGGAATGCTCCAGGAGGTTGATCCCAGTTGTGCCCTTGCATGGCTACACGTGTCAGTGTGACTGGGCATTGGCCAGACAGGAAATGACAGGGCGGGGGGGGGGGGTCGCTACAAAAGAGATTTCTTTCCGTACAATTTTATTTTGCATGCTTTTCTGACTCCCTAAAGCTGGATGAGTATAACATGAGGTATGTAGTTTGCCATTTCTTTAAAGTCTGAGGTACGGCACACAGAGCACACTTGAGATTTATTTTTGTTGCTTTTGCAGTCTGATGACTTTTCCTGCCTTTATATCTGACCCAAGGACAGGGAACAAAGTCAACACAGATCTGCACACTTTGAAATGTCAACAGAAACCTGCAAACCCAGGTTCCCACAGGAGTGGAAGTTTAAGGACCAGAGTGACAAAAAGTGGAGGAAGATAGCAAGTAACCAAAAGAAGATGTCATGTGTCTGTGAGCTGGCCACCTTCTCTACCTGTCGGAAGGAAGCCATGCCTGTCAGGAGGGAGCCACACCTTGACCTGGTCTCTCTGGGCTACCCTTGAGCAGAGAAGAGGATGTACTGAGCTACATGTGGGTGCAGCAGGGAGAGATGGGCAGCTGGCCACAGATGTTACCTGCCAAGTACCTGTAGGACCAGCTCCCGGTCCTCAGCTAAGGTTAAACAATAAATACGTTTCGTTACATATTTACTGTGACAGGAAAGGTGCTCAGTGCTTTGGGTGACTATATTCTTAAAAACACTTTATGGAGGTATGACTGACATACATAAAGCTGTCCATAATTAATGTATGCACCTTGACCCTGAACCTAACCCTAATATCTAGTTAAGATATACTCGATTTAGAATATGGCTTATAAATTATATGGTGGTTTTTAGAAGCTAGGGGATCCAGGGACCAACCTATTCCATCTACTTTTCCCTCAAATTTGACAGGTTGGAACACATTCTGCCACGTGCTATGTGGAGAGCGGCCACACGGGGGCAACAGTGAGTAAAGAGTAGGGCAAACCCGGCCACAAAGCCAATTCTTCCCTCATCCTGTAAAACCTTGCTCATTCAATGTTCACAGATCATTCTATAGATTATTAAAAGTGTGACTTTGCTGAACTTTTTAAAAAACAAACTAATTCTTTGAAACTGTTAAAAATATAAGATGTTTTAAAAAATCTCGGAGTTGGCGAGCAGATGAAGACCCAAGGGCCTGGGAAAAGGCTGTGACTATAGAATATGTTTAGATCTAATTTGGAAACAAGTATGATTTATACTCCACTTATTTTCACAAAGAATTTGTGTCAACTAACAGTACTGAACCCACACAAAATAGTGCACTTCAGAGGAAAATAAAATGAGATTCAACAGCCTCAAGAGGCAGAGAAAGAGCCACACCCGGGAGCAAAGAAGACATACCACGGATGCTAGCCTCAGGCTGATTTGCAGCCTGTAGATCCTCTGGAGCTAGAATGCCCCCAATGCCCCTGGGGGTCGTGGGTCAAGCAGAGCTCAAACCCTGATGCTGCCCTGTTGTAACCGGTGACGGGTCTCCTTGGTCACTTCCTCCATGAGCCACCCCTCACCCCCTGACTCCTCCAGCCTGCTTCTCGAAACTCCCATTCCTCTTTCTGACCCCGTTGTTTACTTTTCCCTTCACTTACATAGTATATAGTATGTTTACCTACATACTATTCTGTCATTTAAACGTTTTTGTCATGTTCTCAGTGCACTGTACTTTGCATCATCCACCCTGATGTATAATCATTTGTTGCACTGCATGACTTAACTGGGGACTAGGAATACCCTCATGGTGTCATGGGGCTAGTGTCCTGGGCAAGGTCCTCACTAGGTCCTCATCCTGCAGCTGTTGCACTGAAGGCCTGATCCAGGCACTGCTGTTTTCGTGCAAGCAAGACAGCACAAGGCAAATAAGCCAAAACCTTGGGTTTCGGTTCGGATACTCATGGCCCCTCAGCCACATCAAATGGCGTGAGGGCACACCCTGAATATACTTGCCAGTCCAATGTTGCCCTAGGGAATTCCCATGGAACAGCCATTGTGTCAAATGGGGGAAAGCAGTGTGAGTGGGGAGGGTGGGAGTTAGAATTCCTGAGATAGAATCAGTCTTGGAGACTGCCTAGCACTTAATAGGAGTTCATTACATAGTTCTTGAATGAATAAATGAATCTAAAAACATTTCCTAATTTTAGAAATGATGAGTCTGAAGCTCAGATTAAGTGACTCACCTAAATTGTACTAGAAATTGGTGACGGAGCCAGACTGAGATCTGAGATGGCCTCTGGCATGATCCCCCTGAGTGGCTTTAGCTCGAGCCATAATCACGCATTTAAATTTTCTGGACTCCCAGGCTCTCATGGGACTCTTCATGTGGCATATTCTGGGAACAAAGGTCATGTCAGTGTCACAGAAACCTCTTACACTGGTTATAATGAGATTTTGTGAGGTCAATGGAGTCCCAAGCCATAGGCCAACTCAGAGTTTGTCTGCGGAGATACGGTTGGTGGGAAACCCACATGCTGACAGAGGGTAGAGGAAGATGGAAAAAGCAGAGCAAAAGAGGTGGGTGCTCACTTCACTTATGGCCCCAGATGACATGGTGATGTGCAGCAGGAAGAGCCCCCCAAGTGCCCCCCAGAACCTTCACAGAACTCACCCCTAATGTTTGAAGCTGAGCTTCATACATGGGTCATGAGCACTCCTGGCAGCTCAGGATAGGATGACCGTGACATAATAAAGCCACAGCATTGACAGATGTATATTCATGGAGCAATGGATTTCTCCAAATACATTCTGAAAAAGGTAAAAAAGTCACAGATAAAACATTGGTATTTTTAATGAACAAGAAAGCCATACATATTACAGAGTAAAACTGGTTCAATTAATAAATATTTATTATCTACTCTGTGCAAATGTATAGCTCTAGTTCTACCTGGGAGCTTGTAAAAAGCATGGGATATAATAAAGGGATCAACAGTAGGAAGGAATGCTGGCTAAAAAGAGAACAGTGTGGGCTAAGGGGGCCATCGTATTCAGAGAGGCCCATTCGGAAGCCCCTCTGAGAAGGTGGCATTTGAGCCAAGACCAGAATGAAAGGGAGAGCAAATCCATCCGTGAGAAGAACAACAGAGCAAGTACATTTCTTATTAACTTTAAAGATAAAACATACATGTCAAGATGTTTTGACTCAGGTGTTGCTTTGGGACCTTCGGTTCTTCACCCTAACGTTTTGGGATACATGCTTACTCTTCCTCACTGTAAAATGGCCTAAGAAAAGATGTCTTATTTAAGCACTGACATCTTTTATTAAAAGGCAAATAAATTAACCCAAGCTAACCCCTAACCCTAACCCTTAACCCCTAACCCTAACCTAGAGGTTGAGTACTGTATTAGTTTTCTACTGAAGTTTGAACAAATTTCCACAAACTTAGTGGCCTAATACAACCGAAACTTATTATCTTACAGCTGGGCCACCGAGAAGTCTAGTGTGGGTGGGCAGGGCTGTGTCTGGAGGCTCCAGGGGAGAATCCCTTTCTAGGCCTTTTCCACCTTGTGGATGACTCCTGCATTCCATGGCTCACAATCCCTTCCTGCTAGAAAGGAATGTGGCTCTGCTGAAACCTTGGTTTTAACTCAGCAAGACCTAGTTTAGACTTATGGCCTACAAAACTGTGACAAATACACCTGAGCTACTTTAAACCGCTACGTTGATGGTAGTTCATCATGCCAGCTGTAGAAAACCCATGCACGAGTGAAGGTGAGGGTCAAGTGCAGGGATGAATTCAGCGTGGAGGTGAGGGTTAGGGTCAGAATCTTGTTGAGGTTAGGTGCAGGGTCAGGGTGGGGGTGAGGGTCAAGGTCACTCCGAAGGTCAAGGTTAGTGTGACAGTAAGCATCAGGTTGAACAGGGTCAGGGTCATAATCAGTGCTTCAGGGTTAATGTCAGGGTCAGTTTTAGGTAAATGGTCAGAGTGAATGTCAAATTATGACTCACTTTGAACGTTAGGGTCCGATTACTGTGACAGTTGGGTCCAGTTCAGGTTCAGGGTGAGAGTGGGTTCCAGGTCAAAGTCAAGATTAGAGTCAGAGTGAAGGTAAGGGTCAATTCTGGGTCAGTATCATGGAGAATGCCAGATTCAGAATCAGGTTAAGAGTACACTGCAAGGTCAGTAACAGGGTGAAGGTCAAAGTCAGGTTATTTCCAAGGTAAGGATCATGTTCAGAACCAAGGATAGGATGAGTGTAGGGTCAGGATCAGGGCCAAGTGTGACATCAGCATGGTGGCCGCAAGAGTCTTCCCTTTTTTCCTCTCCCCTTTTATTTACAACTCCTTCGACATTCATAATCAAACGAAAGTGCCTCTGCTCATCACACCAGGACGCCCAGATTTCTATGCACCTGTGCATCAGAAAGTAGGTGGACAGGACCGTGAAGGGGGTTGCAGATCCAAGGAAGTTGATGAGCCTGCCCCACCCTGACTTGCTATGATTGGGGAAGGGTCATGGGATCAAGCCACACATCAGGCTCCCTGCTCAGCACAGAATCTGCTTGTCTCTCTCCCCCTCCTTCCATTCCTCCCCCTGCTTGTGCTCTCTCTCTCTCTCAAATAAGTAAATAAAATACTTTTTAAAAAGAAAAGAAAAAGACATTACAACTGAGACTGCAGAAAAACTGGACTGTGAGACTAAACAATTACAAGCCAAAAACTCAGATAACTTAGAAGAAACAGATCCATTCCTAGAAACAAGCAACCTACAAACTGAATCAGGAAGAAATAAAAAATCTGAACAAACCAATAGAGACTAAAGAAATTGAATCAGGAATCAAAAACCTTCCAACACAGAAACCTCCCTCAGGACCAGAAAGCTTCACTAGAGATTCTACCAGACAGTCAAAGAAGAATGAACACCAATTCTTCTCAAACTCTTCCAAAACATTGAGGAGGAGGGAATACTTCCAAAATCACCTTGCGAGGCTGGCATTGCCCTGATACCAAAGCCACAGAAGGACTCCACAAGCAAAGAAACTTACAGACCAATATCTCTGATGAATCCAGATGCAAAAACTCTCAACAACATATTACCAAACTGAATTCAAGAACATATAAAAAGGATTATACATCACGAGCAAGTAGGATTTATCCCTGGAATGCAAGGATCATTAAACATACACAAATCAATAAATGTGATCCATCACATTAATAAAATGAAAAGGAAAACATCACATGATCATCTGAAGAGATGCAGAAAAACCACTTGACAAAATACATTATTTCGTAAAAACCCTCAGCATATCGGGTATAAAAGGAACATACCTCAATATATTAGAGGCCATACGTTATGAGCCCATGGCTAACAGTATACTCGCTGGTGAAAATTGAAAGCCCTTCGTCAAGAAGCAGGAACAAGACGTGGATGCCCACACACACAACTCTTATTCAGTTTGGTATTAGAAGTCCTTGCTAAAGCAATTAGGACAAAGAAATAACAGGCATCCAAATCAGGAAGGAAGAAGTGAATCTGTCACTGTTTACAGATAATATGATTCGGTCTATAGAAAATCTAAAAGGCTGTTAGAGGTCAGTCAAGTTGCAGGATACAGAATCAACTTACAGAAATCGTTGATGTTCCTATACACTAAGAATGAAACATCTGAAAAAGAAATAAAGAAAACTACCCCATTAACAATAGCATCAAAAACAATACAATATTAGGAATAAATTTAACCAACGATGCGAAAGTCCTGTACAGTGAACTATAAGACTTTGTTAAAAGAAATCAAAGAAATGGAAAGACAAACAAATGGAAAGACATACTCTGTTCATGGATCAGAAAAATTTATATTGTTAAAATGTCCTTCTTGAGGAAAAAAGAACAAAACCAGAGATATCACACTTCCTGACTTCAAATTACACTACAAAGCTTCAGGAATAAAAACAGTACGTTACTGCATAGACAGACAAAAATAGACACATAGACCAATGGAACAGAATAGAAGGCACCGAAGTGAACCCCTGCTTATACAGTCAAAAAATTATTCAACAAAGAAGCCAAGAACACACAATGCGGAAAGGACAGCCTGTCAACAAGTGAGGTGGGGAAAACTGGATGAGTACATGCAATGAAATTAGACCCACCAGTCACAAAAATTCACTCAAATAGATTAAAGACTGAAACAGAAGGATCTGGTACTATAAAACTCCTAGAAGTAAATGTAGGGAAGAAGCTCCTTAACGTTGCTTTTGGCAATGACTCCTTGAAGAGGACACCACCAGCACCAAAGACAAAAGTGAAAATGAACAAATTGGGCTCCAGGAAACTTAAAACCTTCTGCACAGCAAAAGGAACCATTAACAAGACAAAAAAGCACTCTGCAGAATGGAAGAAAATTTTTGCAAGACATACATTGGATAAGGAGGGTTTTTTTTTTTTTTAAGATTTTATATATTTATTTGACAGAGAAAGATACAGCAAGAGAGGGAACATGAGAAGAGGGAGTGGGAGAGGGAGAAGCAGGCTTCCCACGGAGCAGGGAGCCTGATGCAGGGCTTGATCCCAGGACCGTGGGATCGTGACCTGAGCCAAAGGCAGACGCTTAACGACTGAGCCACCCAGGCACCCTGGATAAGGAGTTATTACGGAAAATATATAAAGAACTCATACAACTCAAAATCAAAAACAATCTGACTGAAAAATGGTTGGAACGAGACCTTTCTCCAAAGAACACATCCCAATGGCCAACAGACACATGAAAAGATGCTCCACATCACTCATCATCAGGGAAATGCAAATCAAAACCACAATGAGATATCACTCACACCTGTCAAAAGGCCTATTATCAAGAAGACAAGAGATAAAAATTGCTGGCTAGGGTCTGGAGAAAAGGGAACTCTTCCATGCTGGTATGCATGTACATTGATTCAACCACAATGGAAAACAATATGAAGCCTTCTCAAAAATTAAAAATAGACCCAACAATGATGCAGTGTGATTCCACTTCTAGGTATACACACAAAGGAAATAAAAACAGGGTTTTTAAGAGAGATATGCACTATTATGTTTACCGCAGCGTTGTTCACAATAGCCCGTAAGTGAATGGATAAAGAAGATGTGGTACATAAATACAATGGAATATTATACAGCCATGAGAAAAGAGGACATCCTGCCATTTACAACAACATGGTGGACCTTGTGGAAATTATGCTAAAATAAGTCAGACAGAGAAAGACAAATACTGTAGGACATCACTTATAAGTGTAATCTAAAAAACCCAAACTAACAAAAACAGAGCAAAATGGTGGTTACCAGGGGTTGGGGAGTGGAGAGGACAGGGCAGATGTTGCCTAACGGTACAAATTTATGATGAACAGTGAGCACAGACAACAATATTGTATTATAATCAAAAAACTTGCTAGGAACCTAGAACTTAATTATTCTAATGACTAAAAAGACAGGATAATTATGTAATATGATAGAGGTGCTAATTGTTGCAATCATTCCATGATATATAATGTATTAAGATACATAAATGTATCGACATGTACACCTTAAATTTATACAATGTTCTATGTCAAATATATTTCAATTAAAATAATGGATCAGGGTCAAGATCTGGGTAAGTCTATAGGGTGAATATCAAAGCAAGGTTGTGCATCAGGTTCACAGTCGAGGATAGGATAAGGGCCTGTGTCAGTTAAGGATTTGAATAAGGTTCAGGGTCAAGGTCAGGGTTAAGTGAAGTTTCATGATCAGTATGTCGGTGGATCAGGATCACGAGGGTCAGGAACATA